TGAGTCATAAATACATTTTTATGAAAATTTTCGGTATTCATAAAACAACTGAATAACATTAAATTGGGCATGGTTAAGTTTGAAGACATTAGGTTATGGTGTGCCAATATCAAAAAGGTATAAAGCCTTCCATCCCAAAGGACATTCCATCCTCCTATCACTAATTTCAATAAGAATAATGATACATAAACATAGTTTTTATATATGATTCTCATAAATTCAAAAATATCATTCATTTTCAAATCATTTTCCTTTCACTAATATTACTTAAACAAGCAGTAAGTAATAAAATAATAAAATGATTATTAGGAAAAGTTGAGAAAGAGCTAACCTTTGGCTAAAGGCTTTGAGACCAAAGGTGGGAAAGTTACTAAATCCACAGCCATCAGCAGCAGTAAAGAACCATTGAAAAAGTGCATTAGTAAAGCTACCACAGAGGGAATAGAATAGCATCATTACTTGTTTCCTGCATCCAAATTAATTAACTCATTAGCTCCCAAAAAAAATTAAAAAAATAAATAAACAAGATGCTAATTCTGATAATTTTCCCCCACCAGCCCTCACAACTTAAATTTTAAAAAAAGATAAAAGTATGAGGAAAAATTGTAAATCAAGAATATAAATAAACCTATATGTTAGAAGTCAATTGTTTTTGTTAGAAAAAGTGTGGTATAAATATTTCTTCTCTTTTTTCCTACATTATCCATAGAAGGGTCAAACTATTCATTGGGTGTACTCGACTAATCTCAAGACTCACGCAAAGCATTTCCTTCCATGCGAGTCAGGCAAATCTTCGACTATGCTCACAGGCATAGTCCCTGAGCAATTGATAGCACTCAATGGGAGGAGAAGTTATGTGGTGGTCTTGGGGCATGGCTAGGTAGTGTCCAGGAATATTGTGATTGGTAGAATGAGTGGAGCCTATAATTTGGTGTTTGGTAATAGAAGAACAACGAGGGATATGACATTTGATAATTGGTAGGAGTATTACCATGTGATGCTCCAAGACTATCTAATAATTTTTTCAAATGGGAGTTGAATCTCAAACTTAATGCATCATGAGGGCCAAGTGGTAAGTAATATCAGTTTTAGTTCTAAATAGTTACATTGTGTGGTAAATAATATCAATTTTAGTTTTAAATAGATACATTAAATAAGATTAGGGTAAGAGACAGTATTAATTACTTGGCTAGTTTGGCTCCTTTAGGAGTGTGAAAGCTGTTGATGAGGTAGGCAGTTGCAGTTCCACTAGGGTATGTTAACTTGTACTTGAGTATCATCATCTGAGGAGGAGAGGAAAAACAATTCAAAAAAAAATTACAAATTAAAAAGCTTATCAATTAAATATATTATTAAAATTAAAATTGGTTTGTTGTAATAATCTATTATTATTATACCTTTCTAAGGGGTGCAATTGAAAAGAGACCAACAAAGCTGACAAGAAAAAGAAAACCAATCATCCAACCCAAAGATAGATTCTTCACATTGATTGGGTTGCTTGCTTCATCTGCTTGAGCTGCAATACGTCCACTCATTCCTAGTAGATAACTTGCAGTCCCACCTGATATAATTTATTTTGAAAACTTCACTTAAGCTCTCAAAAAGAATAAAAATAAATTCTTTTATGTAAGAGCTTTTCCAAGGGGGGGAAAATCTAGCATACAAGAGGAACAATTTTGTTTTTAGTAGGCAAGAGGCCCCCCAATTTCCACTACCATGCAAGGAAAATATCTAACTTCTCTAAAGATTGAAAAGCATCAAGGCATCAGCCATGTGCCTCAGAAGTTCCATAATCCATCAGGCTTCTTGTAACTAAATAAAAATGTAAGCTTTGATTCCAACTTTGCCTATTTCTCTCCAAAATTATTGGGGGTGAAAAGCAAAAATAAAAATAAAAATAAAACTCGAGAAAACTAAGCATGGTCAAACTATTTGAAGATGGACAGTAGGAAAGACATCCTTACATTAAAGATATTGAAGGATGCTTTCCTTGAAGCACATAGGACCAATATCCTTAGTTATGATACCTAGTGCCTGAAAAGTGACACTCAGATCCTCCATGATCATTTTAACATATCAACCTTCATCAAACTACTCTCAGCCCATATTATGTCAAGCAAAACATAGGAGGTGTACATGTGTGCTCACATGTGTGTGCGTAGGGGGAGAAAGAGAGAGACCTTCTCTTGCCCTCAGGCCTCTGCCAACTTGCATTTCTCTATAAAACAAAACATCACTATTTGTAACTGATTACCGGCACAAAATCAAACAATGGATCAAGATAAGATAAAATTGAAGGAAAAAAAAATGCAAGAACAAAATGAACCCAATACACATTTATCAAAATACCCTACAGACAACTGAGTATCGAACAAGAGATCAATAACATATTTGGAGGAATGTAAACATCCATTGCCAAGTAAATTTAAGAATCCACATGAATACGGCAAAGAGAAACAGGTACTACAGAACTTGGCTTCAAATAAAAACAACATTAAAAATCAAAATAGTAACAATGCAATAGCAACAAAAGCAACATACTTAGATAAACAACCTGACCAACTTTTACTGCTTGCAGCAACTTTTCTTCGGGGAGGAAATTACAATAACCCTGTGGTGGACAAGTTACACAAATCAGTGAGATGATAGAGACTGTAACATGTTCTGTATCAGTTTTGGTGTACTCTGCATCATATCTTTTGTAAACAGGTTCAATAGAAGAAACAATTGAATATATAATTTCAACAAAGAATGAAGTGAAATAATTTAGGATCATTAAAAGAAGAATAAAGTGCAACAAATCCCTATCATATTTTAAGTATCTACCACTTGAAGTCCTTTTCCAAAAAAACAAAAAGATTGAAAAAGAACATGAAAGCCAAAAAGTATTTAACATCCAACAAAAAAAAGTGAAACCAGGAAAAAAAGGAAAAAGAAAATGTAAAAGCATACAAGGTTTACCACATTGAGTCTTGAATAGACAAAATTCATAACAAATAACATCATTTTCTTTCAACTTCTACCATCAAGAAGAATCCAATGCGGAACAGATAAGTCAGATGAGGATAAAGATTAAGATTTTTATTTATTTCGGAATTTTATTTATCTAGGAGTTTTATTTACTTGGGAAGTCAAGTTTGTTCAGGATTAGTTTGATTTGTCTATACATATGGACTTCATGTGATGGATTTAGTAGACTATATGATTTGAATTTTGATTCATTGAGAAATTTGATAACAGATTGTAATCCCCTGTTTATTCTTCTCTCCTTCTTCAATCTTCTTCTTCCTACTGGTGCTACATCAGAAAACACAACCACAAACTATTTTAAATCAAAATATATTGTTGAAGTTTCAACATCTAACTACTAATTTGGTTCAAAATGTCACCATTAAATGTAAAACATTGCCCCAGGAAGTTGAAAATCAATCAATGCCAAGTTCGATAGATACAAAATTATTATTTAGGGTTTCAACTCACACTAACTGATTAATATATGGAAATTGTACTCTATTTCACATACTGTTAAAAGCAATCAAGGACACATTTCTAGAAAATTAACAAATCATAGTAAAATTGTGAACAAAGTAACAGTAATAGAGATCAGAATCATCAGAATCTAAAAACAATTATATACATACATATATATATAGAGAGAGAGAGAGACCTTTACAGCTAGTGCCCCTGTAAGTGTCTTAAATGCAAATTCTAGGCACGAATCGGACCAGGAATCCCCAGATGGATTGACTTCAGATCCTAAATTTTCCTGGTTTTTCATCTCAGTTTTTGGCCTTGCTGGTTGATCTTCTGGAACAGCTTGGTCCTCCAAAGCCTTCTCGTTAATGTCTGACAGTTTTGTGCCTCTCAAATCATGATCTGTAATCTGTGTTGAAATCGTCTGCAATGGTTTGACTTCAGTTTCACCAGACTTTCCAGCTGCAGCTCCATGAGCTTCTTCGCTTAACACACAGTTGGCCACCGTCTTGAGTTTGAGCTCCTCGAGTCGTTTTGAAGACCGACGAGGCAAATCAAGTTCTTTTTTAACCTTGGGTATGCACTGCCTTTTTATGTTGCGCTTATTTTCAATACTTTTCTCTTCCAGATTTTTCTCTCGTAAGATCTCAGTTGAGGGAGTGGAAACAGTCCCATTGTCAGTAGATACACTCGTGCATTGCCTTTTCTGTGGCTGAGTTCAGGTTTGGTAATGCGAATTTGTGCTAGCAGCATCTCATCACCACCAATAATACAACATAAGTAACTGGAACCAGCATAACAGACATACCAGCTACCAACAGCCTAAGCATAACTGGGACCAGCATAACAGACATACCAGCATAACTGGAACCACCAATGCATCTCATCACCATCAGCAGCAACAAGGCTCAGCCAAGCAACACACCTCCCCTTCCCTGGAACTTGCACCCACAGTCTCAACACAACCATATCATCTTCATCTGAGTCTCAACCCGAAGCAATAGCCGCTCAGAGACTTAGCGTACTTGAACCTTAGCCAAAACCAATCCATAGTGCCTACTTAAACCTTAGCTTAGCTCACACAGAAGTAGAACCACAACAGATTGGGTCAGATCACACACAGGACTTGACTTGCATCCTAGCAGCAAGCTCACCTTAGCATACTAGCAGCCCAACCCAGAACTTGCAGCCACATTCTACCCAGCAGACCACCAGTCATCCACCATCAGACTAACAGATTCTACCCAGCAGACCACCAGCCATCCACCATCAGACCAACAGATTCAATCATAACATTCTAGCGGACCTTAGCATTCTAACAGATCAACAGACCATAGCCTAGCACAACATCCTAAAGTGATAGCCCACTTGCAGCCAGAACTTACAATAGCAGCACAACATAGCAGAGGCCAGACCAGCAGTAGCGCAGCATAGCAGCCCAACAGCAGATCATAACAACTCATCAACCCGGCAAATTGACAGACAAAAACAGGCAAAAAGGATATTCTCAGTAATTAGAACTTTCATCTAACAGAATGTCTTAATGACTCAATAATAGTAGAAAGTGCCAAACTGAATTATAGATAGGTGGTAACGTCCATATGGTAATTGTTGCAATATACAAAACACGAGGCCGTAAACTGGTATTTGGTTTTCAAATATTCATGAACGAGCTCAGGGGATTAAGGATAATAAGACAACACTCTTATGGAGAATAAAAACAGTATCAGGTAAGAATGGAGCAACAAGCTCAATAAAAAAAGGTAAGAATGGAGCAAACAACACACCAGGGATCTAATGTAATGAGCAACCATAACAGAGAAGCTTCAATTAAAGCATGCAACTGGAGTCTTCAAATGATATCATATGATGAAAATGGTGAACCTTTATTTCAAACACTTAAAAAAAACCAGTCTTAAGAAATACACTTAAAAACATAAGTTATAATTGAATACCGTTTTTATTTTTATGTCCAGTCAACCCTACTCAAAGTTTAGAATAAATTAGAGTGGGTACTTAAAAAATTGGCGAAGCAATGATGATAGTATCATCTTAAATACAAATCCCTTTTAACAGATTGCTCATTTTGAGAATACAGAGCATCCATTTTGGTTCCATTAACAGAAGATATCACAATTTATATAACTCACAAATTGCAAAAAAAAAAAAAAAAAAAAAACTAGAGTAGAAAGAGAGAGAGAGATAGAGAGAGAGAGGCTCACAAGAAAGGAAACTAGCATAAAGTCTCCACTCCAAGGCATTCAGGTCTTGTACTCTGTGAGCACGCAATTCATCATTAGATTTACAAATTATCCACCAAAATCAAAACCCTTGTAACTAGCTCCCATTAACACATAATTCATCATTAGATTACAGATTCTCAGCCACAAAATTGAAAAAGAAAAGTTAGAAAAATCAAAACCCTTGTAACTAGTTTCCTTACATTTCATCAATTGAGATAAAGAGTGAAGCTGAGAACAAATCACGGTTGTGCAACCAAGAATTTCAACACTAGGCAATTTCCGAACAAGGGCATTCTTCTAAGCCATCTTCCTCAGGAGGACTGGGATCAACTTAACAAATCTGACCAAATTTTTCAAAAGTAATTCATATCACAATGTTAGATTAAAAAAATAAAACTAGAAAAATGCAGAAAGATAAGTGAAATTCATCAACAACACATGCTTGAACTCAATAATGACAATAATAATAAATAAATAAATAATGAAAACTGAACTTTGTAGCAGTATTTTCAAATTACAAGTATATAAATCGCACTTGATTTTGGGGTTTAAGGCCAAACTGCGAGAATACTTGCATAAAAACTTCGAATTTCAAACCCGAAAAGAAGAATCGAAGAACATAGAAGGATCGAAAAATAAAGAAGAAGAAGAAGAAGAAGACGAAGAAGAAGAAATGTCGAAACTAACTTGTTAGGGCTGCAAGTCATAGCCCTGTCTAGTATGTTGGACATGTGTTGTATATTCCAAAGTGTTGGTCTGTTCGACCATTTGCGGAGGATCTGATGGAATAGGTGCATCCATTACATTATCCTCTGGGTTAGGTATTTCTACCTCTCCTTCCACACCCTCTTCCAGACATTCATTTTCTCTTCTATCTAGCAATTTTTAATAGTCCCACTGGGCATGCCAAAAATATATATAGGCTTTTTTGGCTTTCGAAGGTTAATAGTGCAAATTTAAGTATGCCAGCAAGGATTAATCAGTCCTTACAGAATTTTTATTGCCAACCAATTATCAAACGATTGTGTTGAAGTTCTTTCGGCCTCAATGAAGAAGACCTTTACTGTTGGCTTGTTTTAGGAGAAATTTATAAGAAATAATAAGTACAGAACAATTCAGAAACTAAATTTCATTGAGTAAATAAAAAATTACAATGAAATGACCCAGTCTTGAAAAGGTTTACAGCAACGACTACTTGAGAACTACTCCTAGGAAATGAAATGCAATATAAGAATTGAAGTGCTAAAAATGTAAAGAACTGGAAATGAAAAAACTGGAAAGGAAAAAAGAAGTAAATAAACTGGTTTCTAGATCTGAGTCTGGGTATTGGATTCTGGGGTCTCCTCCTCTATTTATACTTCCCAAAGGTAACCGTCGAAGTGGGCTTCCAACTGTCGAAATGCACTTCCACGATCTCTGGTCATGGCTTCGCACAATCAGCTTCCACTACGCCATTCCTTCAGCTAGGCTTCCGTCTTGCATTTGAATTCGAACTTTTGAGTAACCGTTGGGCCATATTACCCCGCGCCTTCTCACTACTTCCATGTAACGCAGACCCACCATTACCAATATGAACTACCACGTGTCCGTTACTAATTAGAGACTTGCATTAATTCTCCAAAACACCCTTCATGAGCCACATGTTAAGCTGTGACTGGCCTGTACAAAATATATAGCCAACAAAAACTCTCCTAAAAACTCCACAAGAATATAGAGGAAAGGGAAAATCTTCACTCAGGCAAGAAAACAAAGATGCTAGCACCATGCCTTTCAAGGAAGGAATGGAACACTTTTTTCGCTCAAAAGATGTATAATTTCTGTCTCTCCAAACACATAATGCAAAGAGCACAGTCAAAGTTTTCCTATAACCATGCTTTGGACATCCACTGCCAACAAAACAAAAAATGCCTTCACCAATCTAGGATGTACTGTACTTTTTTTTTGGAAGTATAGTACAGTCTAGATTGGTGAAGTTCACCAATCTACCAATCTAGCCTAGTACTATATTGAACATAGAGAACAACAATACTGAGACCTGTGAAGCCACTAAACATGTAACAAAAGATAATTCACCAACATCCAACACCAGTCCATCAAGAATTTATACCCTAAAGTTATCGTCAATAGCAAAAAGAACTTCCTTAATAGTTGTCCAAGCAAAGACGCCACCCCTTTCCACAGAAAGCTGCAATCTCTTTGCCCAATGAGATGCAGATAGAAAGATGCTACCGTGGATCTAATGTTCGAAGCTCCACTCCAAACCAAATAATCATCAACCCCAATCCAGATAAACCAACCTGAGAGCAAGCAAGCCAACCAACTCCACCACTAAGCCAATCTCCTACTCTTGTAATGATCTCCTAAGCAATGAAGTCCAGACCACACCTCTTTGGCCTAAAGTCCAACAATCCACAACAATACTTGAGATATCTTGAAAAGCTTCCCTCAGAGATCTATGCCCAAACCAAATGTCTTGCCAAACCTTAGCCAAGGCCCATTACCCATCTTTAGAGAGGAGAATTTATAGAAGTCATCAAAACCAATCATGATTTCCTTCCAAACCTGCAGCTTATAGGGCCATCTGATAGACCCCTTGGACCACTCCTCCCAATTAAACCCATATCTTCCCACCACCACCCTCCTCCACAAACTCTTCTAAAAAAGGAACGTTCATAACCACTCCCCTAGCAAGGTTTTGTTAACTAGACACATGTCGTTTGTGCCTAACCCACCCCTTTCCTTATGCATATGCACCACCTTCCAATCTGTAAGATGATATACTTAAACCCATCACCCAACCCAATCCAAAGGAAATCTCTTATCAATTTTTCCAATCTATGAATCACCTACATGGCGATAGTAATCCATGATACAAATAAGTAGTGGGCTCTACAACACGCTCTTAATAAGAATCACCCTGCCACCCTTAAGTATTGCCTCTTCCACATGGCCAATGTCCTCTGGAATCTCTTAATCGCCAGATCCCAAACCATTCTAGCTTTGAAAGAAGCTCCAAGCAGAAGACCCATATAAGAAGAGGGTAAAGCCCCAACTCGGCACCCCAAATTCATAGCTTATGACTTTACACTGTAAAAATAGCCTACTAGGATAAGCTCACCCTACGCCTAGTTAACCCGCAATCTTGATGTAGTGTTTTGTTCATTAAACTTACATATGTCACTACTAGTGAATTAGAGTAGATCATTCATTATACAGTTTCTTATGTAGATCGTCCATTATACAGTATGGCAATCATGTTAAGACTGTGGCGGGTCATCCCACGAAACCATTTGTGAACCCCTACTGGATGCCATTTGAGGAGTTTTTTATTTTTATTTTTAAGTTACCTTAATTGAATGTATAATACTAAGAGTTAGCCTCCTCATATCAAAGACTATACATAATCACTTTTGGCTTAAAGGGGTTGTCCAAAACCTTATCACAATCGACATGCAAATGAAATCCCCCCCAGATCATCTAGTCAAATCCTAAAAAGTGGGATACAACACTACAACAAAAAAGGATTTTTACGACGCGCAATGCACGCTGTAAAAATCCTTCTACGACGTGCAGCGCGCATCATATTATGACCAGTCATGGAAAGTCATTCACTTTCAACGGCATGTTTCGTACGCCGTTAAAAACTATTTAACGACAGATTTTGTGCGTCGTTGTTACTTTTTCTACGACATGCTATAGTACGCCATTAAAAACTATTTAACAACAAATTTTGTGCGTCGTTGTTACTTTTTCTACGATTATTTTTGCACGCCATTAATTGGTGAGACAAATAACGACGCTGATTGCACGCCGTAAAATATATAATATGACTTGCTCAGCCTGCCATAGATAAGTTGAACATACCACGGCGTACACGAAATGCTGTGAAATATTTCATATAATGACCTAATTTGCTTGCCGTAGAATGTGTATCTTTTTTTTAAAATTCAACAAATTCTATATTTGACCTATTTTGTACAATCTAATATTACAAACAAGCTTCATAAAATATCAATCAACCACCAAAATATTATTTCAACCATAAAAAATAAACTATATCTATAAATTATAAACATTAAAAAATTGTCAATATATACATTCCAAACATCCAAAACCTAACCGCAAGTTTAAAAACATCCAAAAGGACTATCCTTAAGTTCTAAATTATCCAAGAAGTTATAAACTATCCAAAACTGTACATATATAAGTTTGTAAACATTACCCAAACTATTCAAAAATTATAGAAATATATTCATCAAAGTCCTCTGCACACACTGTTGGTTGGCAACTTCAATTACTAAATCCTTAGAAAAGAATTCTACCTGCAAAAATGAAAGAACAAAACCAAGTCAAGTAATATTTTTTATATGAGATACAAGAATATGAAAGTGTTTTGTAAAAGGGGAAAAAAAAACTACTAATTAATTTCATACATACCACAAATATCACAATGTTGTTGTGAAAGGTTTCGACAACTTCCACAAGGGCATATGATCATATCGGTATTCCCTGAATTTGTCTTAGCCATGTTGACAAATTTTCTCGCTCCATCCACATACTCATTCGATACTCTGAAAACTTTAAATTATTATTAATTCCATCCAAACAAAATGAGTAACTTAACATTTGAAAGCATATTTATGATTGTGTTTAGAAATAAACCTTGGAAAATGTACCCATGTTTTGTCAATCTTGAACTTTCCACTTGCTAACAAATTGCATTCACAAAAACTACTAAAATTAGTTACATGCATCAATGCTCAAAATGATTAGCAAATACACTAAGATGGTATTTTAGAGTTTCAAATAATCTGTAATCTAGAATCTAGAATTGTAATCAAATACCATTAAATTCTGGAAATATCAAGTACGTAACAAACAATTGAATATCAATTTTGGTATTTGATAGGCAACTTAGTAATATACTAGATGACAACTATATAATTATTCTGTGAAAAAGTTCAACAAACTTTAAGCAAATAAAAAAAAAAGTATACCTTGTAAACTCGAAATTGCTTGATTCCTTCCTTCTCCCAGATCGAAATAATTATTTTAGCTCTTTCACAAGGAGGCTTTGACAGTTGGTCAGCAGTACTTTGAAAAAACTGCTACATAAGACCAGAGCAAATTGTTCCCAGCACAACATCCATATAACAATTCCTAGAACAAGATGGTACACAGAGCAAAGCAGTGCAGCAGCAGTTTACAAGATGAAATTTCCCATTTTCAACAAGCAAGGCTGTAAAAGCAAAGCATTGAATCACAAAAGAATATTAGGAAAAATAAATTGAAGGCTATTGAAGGCAGGAAAAATAAATTGAAGGCTATTGATTGAGAGACGGTTTTGAGTTCAACAAGATCGAGTTCAACAACTGTGTGTCTATCTCACTCCCACCACCCGTTCTTTTAAAATGCATGCAGTTTTTAGTTCATTTGATTAATATTTAGATTTGATCTAATACTACTTCTGTGAAATTACAGAATTGCTGACTGACTGCATTACCAAAAAAGATGGAGACAGTCATTGTTCTGCCTTTGAGCAAACTGTTGGAAGGAAAAAAAAAAAGAAAAGTGATGAGAGTGATAGAAATGCTGCAGTAAATCAATCGGAACTGATGATAAATTTTCTGAATCTACTAAGAAATCCAGGGAGATACTAGCAAATAAACTGATTCAAATGTAGAGTTTAAAGAGAAGAAGAAAATAAAAAAAAGTTTCTTATTCTCTTCATCAAACTGAAGAAGTTAATGTGCAGTCATTGAAGAAACCCACTGCTGATACAGTCTGTGAACTGCAGACAGATGAATCCACTAAGAAACAGAAGGATAAGAAGAAAAAGAAAAATAAGTCAATTTCTGAATCACTTGATGGTATTGTTGAAGAAATGCAATTAGATTCGTTGCCATGAACAAGAACAATCAGATTTGCTGCCAATGGCCACTGAAGATAAATCCTACTGTAAAATCATCAAGTGAAATATAAAACCTACTGTAATTGGAGTTGCACCACAATGCCACTTGTTCACTGGATGTATTCAAAGTAGTAACAGTTGCCAAGTAACCATTCAGACCAGCTGCTAGAATACGATAACAGATATGCCCAACAACCTGGCACAAACGCATCGTTAATGAAAAAGGAAAACATTTAATATGAAGAATACAACAGATGACGGCAACATATGAACATTTTTTTATTCTCACTGCATTGGGGAAAGAAATATGAACAGACACGCATGAAGCTAACTATAAAGCAATTTTATATAACAGTTTGTTACTCTGAGAAAGCACAATATGGAACTGGGGATCTAGTTCAACAAAATCTTCAAATTATAAGAATACAATTAACATATGACAATGACAATGACAATGAATAGGGGAAACCTGCCTTTATCTTTTATGGTTGATTAGCTGTAACCTACTTGCTCTGAAAATGCACTTCGTCACATACCAAGTGAAGAGAAGAAGCATCATCAACAACACACAAAATATCATTTCTGCAAAACAAACGTCATCTTGAATTTCTTGACATTTGAATAAAGCCATGCCTTCGCTATTATGTTGTTGAGGAGGTTGTGGTGGTGAATTTTGGAATCCAAATTCTGCCAAAGACCAAAAAAACAAAAACAAAAACAAAAACAAAAACAAAAAAAAATCATGTTATTGCATTGGAAAAGAAAGGTATCGACTACCAGCAATCATTGGTTATAACTAAATCATACTGCATTAATAAATTATTTTGTTAATTTAGGTTGAAAAGGAGCTTCTTTTCGTTCATTACTAGAGAATTGACATAACTCATTGACGTAATATTCTTAAGCCAAAATAATTCTATTCATGTGGAGAAAGTTCCAGCTTCAGGTGTCATCTTTGAAAACATTAAATCAAAGGAAGAACGGGCTTATCAAATATATGTAAATACAAACACATACATTTTTAAAGGCAAAGGCTGATTATTTGAAGCAAAAATACATTTGCATTTCAGTAATAATTCATAGCAAGATCACTTGCTAATACAAATTTCCTCTGGCATGCATGAGACAGGCAATTGAAAAGAACAGGGAAGATGTTCTTTCTGGCAAACTTCTTGATGTACTTCAAGTAAAGTTCTAACATGGGTTCCTAACCCCCAGGAATAAGCTTAAGAATACCCCTGGTGAACCACACAACCATAAACAAAGCCAAAAGTAGAATTTGAGAGTTTGGACACAACTCAAGTCCAGAATAGAGATTTTTTTTAGGTCCATAGTGCAGAATAGTGCTCATGAATTACAGTGTCAGAGTAAAACTTTTGGCCCAAGGTTTAACAATCCATCCATATGGATTCTAAAATACGTAAATAAAGCCGGGGAGAATCCTGCAATTTTTGGTCACGTTAAAGAAAAGAAAGCAACATGGTTCTTCCTATTAGAAATTACTAACTGAATACAATATAAACATCACAAATCTTACATTTAATGAATTACGACGTGTAGTTGCAGTCACCAAGGTTATACCCATGGTATTGTCATAGACAGGTAGCTTCCATTCAGCAAGAACTGCATTTTTACAAAAGAAGAAACAACAGTAGCATAAGAAAGTCGATTATTATAGCACATAAGAAATTAATGTAAAGGAAGAAAAAGACAAATGTAGGGCTCTACTTCCAACAAGGATAAAAGAATAGACAGCGTAAGAAACATGTAAATCGCTAGTTATTCATTTGTTGGACAACATTCTCATTACAAGGTATGAAAGTTCACTACCAGCTCTGGCTGGGATGATAGTCTTTCATATAATGATAATGCATAATCACCACCAAAATATATAATTGTAAAGAAGGATTTGGTGTCAATCATCATCATTTCATGGAGAGAACACATTCACCTACAAAGTATATAATTGTAAATGTATAAATTGCTGTGCTATGAAGTAGCTAAATTAATAATTATGAGTTGATTTGCAGAATATTATTTGGTACAGTACTAGAATATTGCCATTATCTGTTAGGCTAAAAACTTAGCTTTTAATCCAATTCAATACACAAGCTATGTGCAATCCTATATATAAATGCCATCCCAAAAAGCTAAAATTGAATTCAAATTATTCATCACAAAAAGCATAATAAAAGCAAGTTAGACAATTGCTTATGAATAATTAAAGTACAAAGAGAAATATTCTTTAATTTCCTAGTTTATAATCTATTAGAATAACTGATTTTCATGGGGAAAAGCGGCAATGGTTTAAAGGATTACTAAGGTGATTCTCTTAATGATTTAACACAACCACACCACTTTTGTCCACATCCTCTAGCAACATGCCAAACATGACTTCTTGTTTTTGTTTTTATATGTTTTGAAAAATCTGTGAACCAAAGGAAATGTATTAAGTTGAAGTCATTCTAATTCTTTTGAAACCCAATCATTTTTTAAGGGATTTCAAAATAGCCTAATTTTTCTTCCAAATCAAATCCCACAATAAATTCCCTTCATTTCAGACATTGAAAATCCTATTTTGAAATACCAATTTGTTAAAATCCATTCATTCCAAACACACTAAATGATTCAATATAACAAGAAGAAAGTTGTTGATTATTAGATTTAATCACTTGATCTAATCCTTCCTTTAGAAGCTTTAAAAATTCCTACACTCTCCCAATTTATCAATTGATAGTAACCAAACCAAACCAAATCTTAAGTCCTATCAAATGGGACTGGCTTTATCAGTTGATAGTAACCTTAGAAAATAATCAACTTGTGGTTGCATTTTAATGTCTAGTAGTAGAGAAAGAATAAGTATTAACAGCACTTGAGAAGCGACATCAACCTCTTAAACTTGACACAGAAGGAAAAATCTAATTGATAATTGACGATTTTCTTGCTAGATTTCCACATGGAGAACAACTGCCAAGTACATAATATCTTCTTTATCAATAAGTTCTTCTAAGGAGGTAGATTTGAAATAACATTTTATTCTTCTTCTTTTTTTTTTTTTTTTTAACCCCTTTTGTTCAGCAATAGCCCCTGCCAGGAGCTAAACATAGTATGGGAAGGTATTAACCAAAAGTTGTATGGTTGGTCGGAAGCTTCTAAGAAGAAAAAGAAGAAAGAAACTTGCTAGATCAGCCATACAGCAGCCAAAAGGCCCGAAACAACCATACAGCAGCCAGAAGGATGCCTCATCAAGCTACCTTCAGTTCAGCCATAATCACACATCTTTATTGATCCTAAACATCTCACATGATCCTGGATCTGTGCAAGAATGAATTGGTCTCTACTTAATTATCATTGTACTGACAATAAAAAAAATGATTATAGAGCTTCTTTTTTCTTTTATTGTATTTTTAAACAAATATAAGTGCGAGAGGAAAAATGAGAATTCTGGTACTTGAACCAAGTTTTTGAAGACCATGTCAACAACTATGTACTCCAGACCAAGAACAAAAGAATGTTCCTTTCGCTCTGCATAGTCACAAAGGTTGGGGTTTGAAGATTCATATAAAGGTACTCATGCATCTACTTTAAAGTTGATAAGAAATTCACTCAACCATTTAGTTTATTATAAGAAGACTTAAAATGCCACAACAAACAGATTTTACTGAAGTAAAATTTAAAAGGAATATTAAAGGACTAAGTACTAGTTGAATGGTGAACTGGCATGGATCACACATCTGAACAGAGAATTTCCGAACAAGAAAAATAATTACTCCATATGATAAAGCAAGAATTCAATAAATCAAAATTCAGAAAGGTAATCCTAGAGCCAACCATTAAGAGTGCTTACCTTAAAAGCATTGGGGATTGTGTTAGTCATTTTATCCAGAACAAAACCTCTTGCTATTGTTCCCAATATTCTGGAGACAATTGTGATCCCTCCAAAAACCAAATCTGGGTCGCTCTGCCAAAAGACCCAAGTTAAGTGTTTTTACACCTACTGTTATTTTATCTGAAATTATCTTTTAACATGCAATAAACTCAAAAGAAAGATGAATCATGTGTCATATAGAGTGATATAAAACTATTCTTATTACAAAAAATATAATAAAAAACTTTGAATTTACCATGTGATATATATTATATTAGTTCTGACAGATAAGGCTTCTCATTATTAAATATATGAATTGTAGGATCACTATGCTACACTTTTGGAAAATATAGATATGCTTAATGAAGCTCATATGTCCTGTCCATTTCTAGGAAAAAAGGCATTCTCAAAGATTAATAAGTCGAGGTTTTAGAACCGTGTGGCATTTAACCAATAGAGAAAATAGTATATTACCTTCAGTGTCAAAACTTTCATAACATCCTTTGCTGCTTTAGACTTGGCAGCTTCCTCCTTTGCCAGAGACCAACTTTCTTCGATTCTTTTTCATGAATATTTTCGCTTCTTGTTTGACATAGCTTTTCAAGACTCGCAGCCTATTAAGAATGTATGAAGATCAGTAGAGAAAAGAAGTGCGTTGTAAAATCTTTCTCAGTTGAAATTAATATTTTTCTGAAAAAATATTAAAAATACAATTATGTTGAATACTTTTTAAAAAACAACATAAAATACAATTATGTTGAATACAATTAAAAAACAAAAAAATACGAAAATCACAAAACTCAATTTTCAAACAACTAAATCCAAAAAACTCAAACCAAATACATTGAATACCTTTTAAACAATTATGTTGACATTTTGAAAAAAATTGTGTTTTATAGAAAAAAATTTTAGTTAACCAAACAAATGTTTTACTTTTTTTTGATAAAAAAATTACATAATGAATATATAAAGTATAGAGTGAGTGAAAAAAAAAAAGAAAAAGTGAGTGAAAAAAAAAGAGGGGTTGGCGTGGTTTGAACCCACGCGAGACAGGCGTATATGTGTTGAAATCGTGGTTCACAACCGCGATTTAGCCTATTTTGAGAATTCTTTCAAAACTAGGCTTAGTTTGGGAATTGATTTACTATTTTGGCTTATTTAGGGAAATGCCCCGATTTTTTTTAGACCTAAAACTTAGCTGAATTACATTTAATGTGCACAAGAGCATGATCTTAATCATAATAAGTAATGTAAAAAGCATAACAGAAGAGCATGATGTTAATTTTGTATGTGTTGTAAGATATTTTTCTTAAAAAGCTAAAAAATCTAAAGCATTATCATTATTTTAACTCATATCTTAATTAAAAAATGAATAATGATTGTTGGATTATAATTCATGATTACTTAAATACAATTTTTGCGTCACAAGTAATTGTACTTAAATGAGTTAAAATTCATATAATTCTTTTACAAGTACAAGGAGATATAAGTATACTGTTGCTATTTTAATGTTTTTTTTCTTAATTGAAGCAAGTATATGGACACTGTTCCAATTATTTTCTACTGGGGGGAAACATAATTCGAGATCCCGATGAAGGCCATCAGGAAAGAAGAAAGAGTCGGGAAAGAATTTCAATCTCCATCGGGAAAGAAGAAAGAGTCGTCTTCCAATTCCTGGAAGTCCAGTCAAAATGATGACTCTAGTAAGGAACAGGGGGTTGACAGATAACTAAACTTGGGGGGCTGGACAAACAAGCTCAAAGCCAAGTGGTTGGTCCAATTGGGGAACTAAATAAAGTTCATACAAACGAACAACCGCCTTGAACAACACATAAAATAGAACAGGTAGCTCGGTGAAAAGCTTCTCTTAACTGGGGCTCGTGAAATAGGGATCCTGTATGTAAAGAATTTCAATCTCCATCGGGAAAGAAGAAAGAGTCGGCTTCCAATTCCTGAAAGTCCAGTCAAAATGATGACTCTAGTAAGGAATTTAAAACCCAATTGATTTTACTTGATTTGCTTGTCAAAATCACTATTTACAATTAATTATACACAAACAGATTTACCTCAACACCAATTTGATATATGTTGGATTCTTAATTCAGAAAGTCACATGGCAACAGTGAATTCACTGATTTACCTTACAAGGAGCATGTCCTTATTTTGTCAGTATATGCAAACGGATTGTCAAGTGATGTGACTTGGTGCACAGACTTTGGTTTTCTCGATTTTTTGCTCGATTTTTTTATTTCAATGACAACTCATTTCTTATTAATATATGTGCGATTCTCAATTCAGAAAGTCACATGGCAATAGTGAATTCACTGATTTACCCTACAGTGAGCATGCCTTACTTTGTCAGTATATGCAGATGGATTGTCAAGTCACGTGACTTGGTACACAATATTTCCTTTTCTCTGTTTTTTCATTCTACTGACAACTCATACCTTGTTCGTATATGTGGGATTGTCATGCAGGGCCATCTTTCTAAAACTGTTCATAACCAACTATATAAACGACTAAAGGTGAAGACACAACCTTACAACTCAATTCGCCCTACAAAATTATCATTCATTTGTTTTAAAAAATTAGCATGGCTACATGGTTCATGGGAGGGAGTGGGAATCGCAGAGGTGGTAGGAACTTGCAAAGGGGTGACAGTTCACGACGATGAGGGGGAAGACGAAGTGGCGATGCTGAAGATGAAATACCATTTCCTTTGTTAGATGCCTCTTGTGCTTATCATGATAGGTTTGGGAAGTGACATTTTGTCATGCCCAAGTACTATTGAGATCCATGTGGTTTGGTGGAGGATCCATCAGATAATCAAACAGGATATGGTTTAGCAAACGCTAGACTTCTGAAGTGGCCCGCACTATTTATAGAGCGAGTGCAAATGGAAAGATTATGTCGGGAAAATCGACTGAAGGTGCCAAAAGCACGTTCTGTTAAGATCCAAAAGGAAGATCTTGATAATGTTGATCGACTATGTGAAAGACTACAACGTGAGATTTCTCAAATGGGCCGTAGGTTAGCCCGCGATATGCAGCTATACATAGTTAAGAAGGATGCCCAGAAGAACAAAACAGAACCAAATGATGCGGCTATCAAGGGTATCATGGAGGATCCTCAGCTTGTCTCTGATGCTGAATTTTCGGATTGTTCAGACTCTGAGCCACCTACCGATTTAAGCGCGAATTAGGTGTTAATGTCTACACTTCGGCAATATTAGGTCATGCATTAATATGTAATGTCTGTGTTAGAGTAAGTGTTTCCGTAATGAGTTTGTCAGATTGTCTGGCTAATATTTGTGTGTCTAACTGTTATGTTTATCTATGTATTGTGTGTTCTGTTCATGGTGTCCACAATGTATTGTTGTCCGAGACTTATGTCTGTACTACTTATGTATTTTTGTGGGAGACTTATGTGTTTTTTCCTCAAGGTTTTATGAATTAAATTATCATCTTCTAACCTAAAACAAAGACAACAGGAAAAAAAAAATGATTTAAATGAAAACGGCTTTAGTAAAGCCAAAACAAATTTCTAAATAACACATTTTAACCCAAAACAAAGACAAGAAAAAAAAATAAAAAATAAAAAAATTTACATGAAAACGGATTTAGTAAAGCGAAAAGAAATTTATGAATTACATTATCACCTTCTAACTCAAAACAAAGACAACAGAAAAAAAAAATGTATATTATTTACATGAAAACGGCTTTAGTAAAGCCAAAACAAATTTCTGAATAACACATTCTAACCCAAAACAAAGACAAGAGAAAAAAATAAAAAATAAAAAAATTTATACGAAAATGGCTTTAGTAAAGCGAAAAGAAATTTATGAATTATATTATCACCTTCTAACCCAAAACAAAGACAAAAGAAAAAATATATATATTTAAATGAAAACGGCTTTATTAAAGCCCAAACAAATTACTAAATAACACCTTCTAACCCAAAACAAAGAAAAAAAAAATTAAAAAAAAATTTACATCAAAACGGCTTTACTAAAGCTCAAAAAAATTATGAATTACATTATTACCTTCTAACCCAAAACAAACACAAGAAAAAATAAAATAAATTTACTTTAGTCAAACAAAAAAAAAATGCTGAATTACACATTTTAACCCAAAATAAAGACAAGAGAAAAGAAAAAAAATTAACATGAGAACGGTTTTAGTAAAACAATTTTAACCCAAAAAATTATTCTGAAATACATTATCACCAAAACAATGACAACAGAAACAAAAAAAAAAAAATTCCTTCTTTACAGTTCAGTTAAATTGAAACTAAAAAAAAAAATTACACTAAAAACGTGGTTCATAACAACAATTATAGGAGAAAAATTTTTTGGCAAAAAGGCGTGGTTTGAAAGAGGATGGTTAATTGTGCTCATAAAACGCCGTTTGGAATAGCGAGTTCAGAAGAAAAATGATTTTTGTTAAACTCGTGGTTACAAAGAGCGAGTTCACAGCGTCGTTTGGAATATGATTTTTTTTGCTTTTCATAAAATGTCGTTTTGAACAGTGAGTTCATAAGAAAAATGATTTTTGTTAAACTCGTGGTTACAAACAGCGAGTTCAGAAAGGTCTCGTGGTTCTCAACAGCGAATTAAGAACAAAATGTTTTTTTGGATAAAATCGTTGTTTCTAACAGCGAGTTCAAAAGCAAAAAAAATTAAGAATATTTTTGGATAAAATCGCTGTTTGTAATAGCGAGTTCAAAAGCAAAAAAAATTAATTAAAATCTCGTTTTGTAACCGCGATTTGTTAATCGAAAGCGCTTTTTGTAATCACGAATTTAAGTTTTGCCCACTTCCACGTGGGGCAGGCGGAAAAATGTTGAAATCGCGATTGTGAACCGCGAGTTAGCTCATTCTAGAAATTCTTTGAAAATTAGACTTAATTTGAGAATTGATTTATTATTTTAACTTATTTAGGGAAATGCCCCGAATATTGTTCATCGACATGTCACCGGATATGAAGAGAGAATGGGTAATTTCGTCTAGGATTTGGCTTTGGGCTTGCAATTTTTTGGATGCGGTGCAGTTCTTTGTTGTTGGTGCCTCAATTTTTGGCCCCGTTTGTAACCCTGATTTTTAATAAAAAAAATCATTATAAATCTTTTAATATTACTTTTTTTACATAATATATTTTTTCATAAAAATTTAAAATATAGTGAACTTCCATTCATTTTTTATTATAATGTGTTTGGAGCCATATGGAGACGATTAAGTCATGATATTCGCCTATTTTGAAAAGTAATTAAAAACTTTTTTTATAAAAAAAAGATATGCAAAAATAAAAATAAAAAAGTGATGTAATTTAAAAAAAAATTAAAAAATCAATAAGTTGACTTTACAAGTATATCATTCATTGAATGTCCTACAATTTTGTAAGGTTTGTTGAGTACTTTATACCTACCAAAAATCATATTAATTGCATATCACTATATGATCGATAACTAAAAAAATAAACAATAAGTTTTTCTTTTGAAAAATAGCATAAAAATATGTAATTCGATCATATAGTTATCGATATCCGATTAATATGATTTTTGGTAGGCATGAATTACTCAATAAACCCTACAAAATGAATGATTTGGATTATAAAAATAAATTTATAATACACCTCAAATTGAGGCACAACAGTAATCCCATTTCCATCAATT